GAACGAACAGTAGTGGGATATAAACATAAAATAAAGAAAAGAAAACAAGATCATCTACATCACACACTCTCTTTTTCTTTCCTCTGAACCATTCCTTTATTAGTTTTTTCTGTTTTTTGAAGAAAAAAAACTCTCTCTCAAACCACTTGGACTTTCGGAGATCTTCTTCTTTACCTCTTCTCTCTCTCTCGCCCTGGCAAAGGGGAAAGACGACAGCTGAGAAACGGGTGAGACGGTCACTAGAGAGTAGAAGAGGATGAAGAAAGAAAAAAAAAGGGAAATTCATTATACATTGAATACTAGCAAACTGAAAAAAAAAAAAAAAAAAANTTTTTTTTTTTTTCCTTTTAAAAAGACGCACGTGCACACACTATCTCTTGCTCTTCTCTCTCTCTCTTAAGCCAGAACCCAAATTATTTTTCACTCTATCTCTTTTTTTATTTTTATTTTTCTCTCTTTACACTTTGTTCCTTTTCTTATTTATTTTTTTCTCTTTCACAATACAAAGACAATGATACCGTGCAAAGCAGAGAGCGCCAGTGATTCCAAGTTGTTTGCAAACCACTGCCCAATAGAACTCCGACCATCCTCTCCTCTATTCATTGATGAACGCCGTCGATAACGCGGTGATCCTTCACGTTGTGGTATTTGACCAATGAACATCAACGCAGCGAGACCCAGAAATGCACGAAAGGCAACCAAATTAAACAGTGGACTATGCACAGCATCACTCTCTTGACTACACATCTCTTCTGAAGAGTACTCTCCAGACTTCACGACTGTTTCATCTTCTATTGTTGATGGGGCGATTGATGGGGTGCCGCGCAGCGACTGCACGAAGGAGTCCATATCACTCTCGGAGGAAGATGTTTCTTTAAAATCAAATCTTCGCAATGGACTTAAGAAAAAGTCCTGAACGACTGCACATAATTCATTTTTTCCGGCAAAAAGAACTTGCGAACATCGAAGAGCGGCGGTATTGTGAAGACCACAGTGAGAAATAAAAGGTAAACCACCGCAACGAAACAATCCACAACTATAGGAAGATGGGCGAAAGGAAAAATACTGTCTCCTTTCATTCACTGATGCTTCTTCCCTCTCATCATTCTCTTTCACATCCGTTGCTGCTGATGTTCCTGCTGCTGCTGCTGTGGTGGTAGTGATGGTGGTGTTTGTTGACTTGCCTGCTGGGTCCACTTCCGCTGCTGGCAACTCACGTGTCCCGCACTCGGACCACGTCGGCGAGTGCTCCACAAACAACATCGACCACTCCGATGGACTTCGGCCCGTCCACACGTCTCTGCTCGACGCACACGGCGACGATGATGTCGCTGCCGTGAACCGCAGGGCACACACAGCGGGGGTCCGTGCACTTTCACGGTTTGCGGACGGTGTTGAGAGAGAGCACGGGTCCGGCGGCGGCTGGCTGCTGCAGACCGAGTCCAGCACCGCCCAGCTGCTGCAGGTGGACATGGTGGTTGAGGGAACAGGCGAGGAAAGGGCCGCCAGCTGCAACTCCGGGCATTCCACCCATCGACTCATTGCTCAGCACAACAAGTCTGGGAAGCAATAGATAGATATATAGATATATAGATAGATAGATAGATAGATAGATAGATAGATAGACGTCTGCAAAGAGGAACAGACGTCTGAAGCAAAGCAGGTATCACTGTCCTGTAAATTACAGACAGGTAAATAGAGAGAGTGGGGATAAGATAGGATAGAATAAAGCAGAAAAGCAAGAAACCAGTATTCGATTTCTTTTCAGCTCCTCAATTACACTTCCACCTTTTTTCTTTTTTGTAACCGTAGCTGTTGCTATCAACGACTCTGAGATGGTACTTTCTAATGGGTGTGTTGTGTATTTCTTCAGGGCACAGACACCAATGCGTAAAGTAAAAATAGAAAGAGAAAGAGATAGTGAAGAGAAAAAAAAGAAAAACAAAGATGTGGGAAATAGTCACTCATATAAGAAGAAGAGATCATCGTCTTGTTATCTATATTAACAAAAAAAAGGGCTGTGTATAGCACAGCATTGCAGTTGTATTGAGAACGAACAGTAGTGGAACATGAATATAAAGGAAAGAAAAGAACCATATATAAGAATGTATGTATAATTCTCCCTTCTCTATTGTTTTTTTTTTTTTCGTGTTCTTCCCTCCTTGACGATTCAAAACGCATCAAATGATTCTTCTATTGGCACTTGAGCGCACAGGACTTTCTCTTATTTCCTGAAAACTCTCTACTTGCTGTAATTCCACCTGCTGTCTAAGTGTTCGAATCGCTGCCATGAGTCTATGTCGCTCCCCTGGATTTGGATTCGGTGAACGCAGATGATGACTAAGCTCTGCAGCAAGAAGGCGCAACTGCTGCAGAGCACTCTTTTGTTGTTGTTGTTGTTGTTGGTGTTGGTGTTGTTCAGATACTGGAGTTGGCCTCTGTGGTGATAAGGCACGACGTACCTCTTCCCGCAGTGAGGGAGATAGAAAGTTCGATCCCCCAGCAGCTTCCATACCGGCTGTAGATGCATGAATAGTGGAGGTATTTGTACCGAAATCATTCGGTAGTGGTGATCCATGTTGAGAGGCACTCCGTTCATTCTGATGAAAAATAAATGCATGAGATGTCGGAGGGACTACTGGTGGTGGTGGCTGTTGGTATTGTTGTTGTTGTGATCTCATCTCACTATACTTCATTTTTTCTAATGCTCGCAGTAATTCGCCTTCTTTTTCCCGTTGTGCCTCTACTTCTAATTTCAACTGGTCCACCCGTTCTTGTAAGGCCTGTCGCTTTGTAACATGAATCTTTACAGCGTCTACACGTTCATGAAGTTCATTTACTTCGTTTTTTAATAAATTTCGTAATTCCTCTTGTTGTACGGCTGCTGCTGAAGTGGCATGTGTGAAATGAGCAGCTAAACGATCATATGCTGCCGCCTCCGCCTCTACAGCCTGCAACCACTCTTCTCGTGAGGGTGGTTTGTTGAGTTGTAAAGACCAGTGTGGTTCACGTTGTGGATTGTGTTGTTGACGACGTGCGTTCATTATTCCTTTTTCCTCTGCTGAGACCATTTCACGTACAGTCGCTAAAGCCGCTTGGTATTTACTATCCGTTTCATCCTGCTCTGAAGTACCTTGTGGAGATGTGGCGAGTAAAAGATTAGCGGAGTCATCAAACTGGTGTTGACGAGGAAGAAGATATACAGATAAACCAACTTCTGATCCTGCTGTTCTCCCTGTTGTTGTTTTTCCTGTTGTTGTTGTTGTTGTTTGATGATCATATCTTGCAGAATTCTGGATTTCACGCGGTTGACTTGAAGGACTCGTGGATGAACGTCGACGCTCGGTTTTTCTCACAACAATAAAGGTAGCACTTCGGGAAAGACCACAACGACGATTGAGATCATAAAATGCCTCCACCTCTGGTGCTTTAAATATACAATCCATACCTGTCAATATAGTAGGATAGTCATTTCCATTTTTCATGTTATTGTCATCATTATTATTCTCAATAACACCAGCAGCATCTCTTCCTCTACTCAATCGCCTGAAGTTATCACCATCTCTATTCTCCTGAACTCCAGAGTTCATGTTTACATTATTATTGTTATTGTTGCTGTAGTGGTGTTGACTACTATCATAGGCTAATGCACATTGATTTCTTGGAATTACCATCTGCAATCCCATCTCAGACAACGCCTCTTCAAGATCTTCCAGAACTGTATTTACAGTCGTATCTTTCAGAAATGCAAATTCAACATTAAATCGTTGTGTCTGAAATTGTTTATTCACTGTATCTACGAGAATATTGCCCAAGAAGGGTTCATCTTTTGTTGTCATTACGTCCTATTCTCGTCGCCCCCAAGACGTTAAACCACAACTATAGGAGGAGAAGAAGAGGAAGAAGAAACAACCGAAAGGAGAAGAAGAAAAAGAGAGAAAAGGGAAAAGAGAATATTTTTCACAAAAAGGAATTCTGTAGAGTATGTACAAAAATAAATACAAGGGATTTGAAAGAAATTAGTGTTAATTGCTGGCTTTACAGAAACACACAAAGCAAAAAATAGAAAAAGAGAAAGAGAGAGTTAGAGTGACACTGAGTGAAAAAAGAGAAATAAATAAATAAAAACTTCTCTCTCTCTCTCTCTCTTTTCTCTCTCCTTCTCTCAGTCTTTCTGTTAACCCGTATACATGCAAGACATAGGTGTACAATTTTTACGTACCGCAAAAAGTGGAGGAAATAAATCTATCACTGGCATTCAGTCAATCTCTCTTTTTTCTTTCTTCTTCTAATGTTTTCTATTTGTTTTTTTCTTTTCTTTTTTGTTTGTCTGTGTCGAAGTATTCCTTTCCATTTTACTCCACAACTTCTAACTTCTGCTTCCATCTCTATTCCTGTTTCCAAAGAAAAGAAAAAGAAAAGAAATATACACACAAACGGAAACAAATGAAAGAAACCCCAATTCTCATTAACTTGGAGTTAACACTTCCCTTCCCTCAGTGAGCTGCGTAGAGAGTTCGTATAAGATTCTCTTGTCGTGTGTGTCCATCGGCAACATCTCGCTCTAACCATGCGAGTAACAACTCCAGTCGTTCACAGTCACGTTCAGCACTCACACACTCTATCCATTCCTCTGTCAAGACTGCCTTCCTCTTGCGAAGTTCATTACACACCGCATCACTCTCAGATTCACGTGAAGCTGTTAAGTACTGACGACAGACTTCATCCAAATGGAAATGTGCGGCAGCTAGACGTAAACGAGCATTATCTTCTTCTTCACTCATACTTGATGATCCAAAACCTTTTCTTTTTCGTAGAATAGATTGACGATCACGTGCAGAGAAGGACGGTGTGGGGCGAAGACTTGCGAGTTGACGGAGAGTCACTGTAGTAGTAGCCAACGTCCACGGTAAATTGTTTTTTATCTCCGCCGTCTCTTTATTAGAAGCAACAGCTGCAGTAGCAGCAATAGAAGTAGGAGCAGTAGAAGTAGGAACAGGAGCTGTAACTGCAGGAGTAACAGAATCAACGGGTACAATAGGAGCAAGAACAGAAACTGGTTCATTTCGTAATACACTTTCGTCATCATGTGTTTCTTTTAGCATTAAACTAGGTGCAGATAATGAATTTTCTGGGTTAACTCGTAATGGTGATTCCAGTAAACGAGTGTCTGCTGCTAGATAGAACCGAGAACGATCATCTTTTAATGCTGCATTCAGTGCGGCATCACTTTCTAATGTATGTGTAGTGGCATTACTCAAGTTGCATACTATTCTCATATTAGATGGTTGAAAGGAACATCCTACTTGAGGACCAATACCATTACAAGCAGCAGAAATAAGGGATGAAAGTGATTGGGTTTCAGTTAGCGGCACATTTGTGGTATATTGACACCCGTCGAAATCCACGTATACAACTTGAAGGTAATTCGTACCTGCTTTGTAACTTCCAGTAGAATTACCAAGAGGAAGATACGGAAGTGAATTAAACTCTGCAAAAGCTGTATAATCATTAAGACGATTAATAAAATCATTTCCTGATCCAGAAGCAATAGATGGTTTAGATTTTGATCCCACACCCGTTAATCCTCGATTTCGCCATGATGATGACTCTGCTGTTACTGGATCTCTACTTAACTCCGGTGTTACCTCTACCATTTCATACATGGTGAAATCCTTCGCTTCTGTTTTAGAGAATCTTCTATTAAGACGTTTTAAATCCTCCAATGGCACTAATGCGCCTTCTAGAAATACAAAAAGATCACGCACCGCCTCTGCAGGATCTGGTGATGTCACTCGTCTCTCATTAAACTGCCGTAAAAATGCCTGCACAAATGACATTTTCATCATTGGTGTTTGCGCTGCCGCCTCCATTGCGGCGGTGCCGAGAAAGAGAAAATGATCCCCGGCATCCCGCACACAGAGAGCGAGTTCTGTTTGATAAGATATCGACACATCGAGTGCGGCGCCCATGCGTTCAACAACACTCCGCCGTGCGTGGGCGATGATATCCCGCGGGGTTGTGGTCTGCAGAACAGAGAAGGAGAGCCACACCTGCGTTTTGGTCCCATCGCTGCCCACCGTGTGTAGACACAGCCGGAGAACAAGTGGCATCGCGCTGGGTATAAGGGAATAGAGATAGATAGATAGATAGGAGAAAACAAAAAAAAATAAATAAAATATATATATTTGATTCAATCTCTTTATGAAGTATCCAACTTTCACAAGACAAAGGAGTCATGCAAATAGATAAAAACAAAACAAATTAAAAATAAAATAAAAACATAATATATGGACGTTTGATAAGTGAGGTTTATATAATTATATCACACAACCTCCCATTCTTTCTCCCTATCTCACACACATAATCTCATATATGTATGTATATACATACATATATGCATATATACATGTTTAGAGTCTCTTTTATTTCCTCCCTAATATCGTTTTTTTTTTTTTTCTTATTTCATCACCATGTATCATAAATAGCTCCATCGTTTTTGTTGTTGTTTTTTCTGATATCATTTGTTTCTCTTTTGCCTCCAGCCCCGCCCTTTTCCTTCTCAAGACATAACCACATTCATTTAACAAAGTAGCTTGAAAGGGAGAAAAAAAAAGGGGGAGCGTGTCTTGTTTCTTTTGATGTATAAACCAGATTAAAGAGAAGTAAATAAATAAAAAAGTAGTAGTAGTAGTAGTAGGCTCCCCCACCACCACCACCACACACACACACACACACACACAATTATTAATTCATTTTCTTCTTTTCTACTAATCATATATATTCTCCCACCCCCTCGTAATTTCAAAAATCCCTTCATACATCTTTTTAATAATGTTTTTTTTTGTTTTTTTTTTTTTTTCATATTAAAAAGACCTTACAGTTTTGCGTAATTAACTGTTTGCATCTCATGTTCTTCAAATATAAATCCCCGAATCTTATCAATTTCCTTTGTATCCACACCTTCGCGAGTTGGTCTAACGGACCAGCCGTTATTTTTAACAGTCAAATCCCGAATAACCAGTGGTGCGGCACTTTCATCTACTGGTCCAACAAGACGTAAGGCCCCATCGAGAGTAAGACTTTCAATACGAACACGGCCTTCCACTATTAAGACACTCCGTTCGCTTATCTTTACTTTCTCCGGATGAGGAAGTAACCGTTGTGTAATTTCCTCCAATGAAACTCCCATTGCCATCGCATCAGCAACAATAATAGGGAAAAGACGAACCTTCAGTGTATTCGCCACTTCCACATCAAAGGCATCATTCAAGCGTGAAGGTAATTTTAATCCCGCACTTTGAAAGCGTTGGCGCATTATCTCATAAAATCCCTCTTCACCTGTAGCTGCACAGTGAGCATCCAATCCTTGTAATGTTTTCTTCACTCCTTCTAGTAAAGCATTCTTCACTGGTTGATATGTAAGACGTGTAAAGGTGGTAGCTCCCACACGATGTTTAGATGGATCAAATAAAAGTGCCACGTCCTGCATGAGGGATTCAATACGACATGGTTTAAACTTTGTTTTGGTTTCATCTGTAAACTTTGGGTTAATAAACTCTGGAACAGTACCACGGGATTGAGTGAGAAGAGGAACGTAATCCTTAAAGTTCAGTACAAGTGTATTGATACTTCCTGGAAATGGAGAATAAGGGGAACCTGGAGCGGCAGAGTCTCCTCCACCTTTTATTAAAGAAGCCGCCACAGATTCAAATAGATTATATTCAATATTCACTGTACGCTCCATATCGGATTCACGGGTACGAACATTGCAAAGAAGACCAATAGCTTCTTTTGGTATACGAGGTATACACGTAAAATTCATGGATAACTTGTGTTGGGCACTCATAGAAAGACTTACTGGAATAGTAAGAGTTGACATGGCATTCGTATCTTGCATAAAAACAATATATTCATATCCTTCTTCCATCCATTGGTCCACAAGACGTTTTCCTGAATTTGGATTCGTTGCTTGATAAAGAAGTGAATGTACATCACCATGACCATGAGGTTTTCGTAAGAGTTTACCATTTTCCATAGCCAAATGTGCCGCCGTATCACCAAAACAAAATACCATTTCTTGCTTTAACAAATGTATATTATTCATTCCATGGTTTAACTCCTGAAGAAGAGTTTTTGTACGTTCATGTGTGTCATCAGAGGTCATGATCACAAATGGTGCATCTTTTCCAACACATTGCCGAAACCATGAAAGATAATGAGAAAGATAACAGTGATGTGTGGCGGTCTCCACAGGCAAACCCACTTTAACACCGGCGAATCCAAGACGTTCACCAAGTCCACCAGCGACGAGTACAATAATAGAGCGTTGTAATAGTTGTAATCCCTCCCGCTCCATCTTCATAAGTGTTGATTTTTCACTTGTATGGGCATCTCCTTCTTCTGGTATCAGAGATGGGGCATTGTAGGCATATGTGGGTTGATTTAATCCAATAATGTCTGATTGTGGTGTTTGGATACCGGCGAGTAAACGTTTTCCTGTGCGTATATACTGTGGTACTCCACCATCATAGTGACGTCCAAAGTCCCAGAGTTCTTTGAGAAGTTGTTTTTGTTCCTCGTTGTATTCCTCTGGTGTGTTTGGCCATCCATTGAAGAGATGTTGTTGGCCGAGTTCCGGGCTGGAGAGGAGTTCACGCAGTCCTTGGAGATCCGACATAGTGGGAGAAGTCATTGTAGATGATAACAACTATAAAATCCTCTGTTTACATATATATATATAGGAATGGGAATATGTGAGGGGAGATAATAATGAGATTAAAAGAAAAAAATAAAATAAAAAATAAAGGTAATGGCAATGGAAATGTGCACACAGGTACATCATATACAAAATAAATAAAAAATAAAAATATATACCCTAATATATATATATATATATATATATA